GATTCCAAAAATAATATTATATACAGAGTGTTCCATTTGAAAAATCAAAGTTGCTACTGCTTTCTAATAGAAGCGGCAACACCGCATTGTCGAAAATATTTTAGTTGGCTAGAGAATGTCCGAATATGCCCTCCATTAAATTTTCAAAGTGATCAGTTGTCTAGTTCACCAGAAACGTCTAATGTGCCATCCACCGTGAATCAGCCTGTATATAGGTGTACCTTTACTGATGTTTTAAATCATTGAAGAATAATATATTCAATTTCACAATTTTTTCATTCCTGGAATAATTACTAAAATCCCAATACAAAATTAACGACGGTTTCAATCAAGTGGTGAGTATATAAGGAAAAGATCTTGTAGTCGATATGTCTTCTGAGGAAGATTCCAATACACTATCAGTTGATAACATGTTCTGTTCAGGTATCACAAATGTCCCTTGTTTTTGGAGCCACATGAATATATTTTTGCAAAAACTAAGACAGCGCCCACGTTAGAGAGATAGGTCTTTATCATTTTATCGATGAATACAATTGATTAGTTTGAACATCTGTACACAGATTGTGTCTGGGGAAATACTTGTTTACTTTAGATGATACTTTGCACTTGTACCTTGTACAGTTTTATTCAAACTAATTTTGTTTTTACGTATTTGCCTCCAAAGCTTATAACAGTAATCATTATTGAAGATTCAACCTCAAAAGTAGTACTTTTGATAAAATGAAATCCTGATTGGATTCCTTACGCTTAAAAATTATGAATACTTCACAGGTATTGTTTTTATTAGCACTATCGTCGATGGATATCAGTGAGTAACATCAACACTAATGAGCAACATTTTTTCTGGAATATTGTTTCATATTCAAATATTTTATCAAAAACTATCATATCCTAAATTCCATTTGAACAATAGTAACAATCAGTAATCAGTGGAGTAAGTGTATATACATTTCTGATAAATATTTTCATTCACTTGCATCTATACGAATCATAATCACTGGACTTACTGCTAAAATATTGACGAACTGAAATATTTACTTAGTAACATCAACACTGATGAGCAACATTTTTTCTGGAATATTGTTTCATATTCAAATATTTTATCAAAAACTCTCATATCCTAAATTCCATTTGAACAATAGTAACAATCAAATACATTTCTGATAAATATTTTCATTCACTTGCATCTATACGAATCATAATCACTGGACTTACTGCTAAAATATTGACGAACTGAAATATTTACTTGAAATTTTCAAATATCAGTATTCATGATCAGACAATCCATTTTTGCTATGGAGTTACAAACTTTTTCAAATTTAGTTACTTTTTCCAAAAAAATCATACTCACTTTCAAGCCATATGGTATTACTGCAGACTTCTTTCATTTGAGAAGCGCACTCTTTCGTTACTCCATTATCGGAAATCGAACATACTTTCTGCATGTCTTTCAGACTTAAATCAAATGCCACTTCACTCTTCACCACTGCAACAAGAATGAAAAGCATCAAATAAATTTGCCCCATTCTCCTGATGGACGTAGCTTTCCACATCATGTTTCAAATGAAAATGAACAAAATGCGACATATCTGTGTTGAACATAAATTATTTTTTATCAATATCGAGTGCTTTGATAACAAATCTTTAATAATAACTTCTATTGTTTTTAGGAAATATTCATTGAGTACCCCACTGTTCGAAATCAAGTACAAAATGAAGTTGATACAATATGAAATCAAACTGAGAGTTTTCGAATGTAATCTCAAAGAAAGAAATTCAACACATTGATATATATATCTTTGTTTGTCATGTAATTAATGACGAAGATTTTTGATATCTTCTTAAATCTGCAGGTATATATAAATATTCCAAAATAGGAGAGAAAATGAAAATGGAAGGTTTTTTTTCATTACTCTGTTTGCATCAACCCTGTTATATAATAATAAAGAGCCAGACTATTCGACGTTACTTCATTTATAACTCAGACGCCATTTTATAATCATGTTGCACCCCTACCTCACGAAACACAGTGATGCCAACATCGATACTGCTCAAAGTAGTTTTGTTCAGGGGTTACATTTTCCCCATTCTAAACTGAAGGTTCAATCTAGTGAGTGAATGAATAACTCTACCAAATCTGAGGATTAAAGGCATTTTTGATGATGATGATCAGAATCGAATTAACTTCACTTGTTTAAAAAAAATGTTCAAAATATGTTTTTCCATTAACCATATGTCGCACTTCTACGAACGACAACCCTCAGAAGTCGAAACTTGCAAATTAATGACTAACAAGGTCTTACCTTTTAACGTGTGATTCCTAACACGGATGCAAGTGAAAATCGATCCTTCAGCCTGCGGCTTGAACCACCGACTAACACGGCGTTCGGTTCAGTGAGTGATGAAAGCATCCACGTCGAACCGACCGGCTACCGACCGATCATCTGATTGACGTATTCCAACAACATCTTCAAATCTTGATCCAGGTAAATAATTAGGTCTAGAACTATGATTAGATAATGTTTTCGTTTCAGACTTATCCGGAGCACTTTCACATGGAGTATCACTTGAACATAGTGGTTTAGGATCGACGACCTCATTTTCGTTATTTACCCTCACACTAATTTCGAGTTTTTTTTTTAAATACTCAAGAATTTCATAATTTTGACTTTTTAACACAATGTAGTTTGCATCAAATACCTTTTCATTTAGTTTGAATGGATTCAATTCATCATGTGTTCCATTGGATGGCAAGATGGTATTAACAAATCAAAACGAGTCCTAGGTCTATTTTTCAAAATGTTTTCTGCAGAAAAAGTATACGTAACGGAGTATTTCTGCATGTGAAAAAATAATTATAAAAATTTGATTAAATGTTACTACTGTTTGATAAAAAAACATTTCTTTTTTTTGCACATATAGATCCAGTTAAACCTTTTTTTGACTGTCTGGGAATCTCTTTCAGCTATCCCATTGCTCTCGAGAAGATAAGAAGGAGCTTTCACATGTTTTATTGTATTAATTTGAGAAAAGGCTGTAAACTCTGTGAACATAAATGGTGGAACATTATCTGTCACAAATTCAACTGGCGGTTCCATCATTTCATCATCGATTCATTCCGATTTTTGATAAATTACAGATGTATCAGAAATACATATTCAAATTAAAAAAACGTGAACCCTGTAGAAATGCTGTGGAGCATTTGTTCATGTTAATAGGGTACTTGTGTTAAAGAAATTTTCATATTGCTGACTGATATGACAATTAAAAATAGACTTTTTCAGATCCATATTCATAGTCGGCCACCAACAAATGACCATTGTTGCTGTTCATGAAAAAGTTTGGGAATATTCATTTTCGAAAATTCTGAAATAATCCCAGTAAAATGCAGTTTTGTTCGGATGAAAGCTCTTTCTTTCTTCAAAAAATTGGTTTTGAATGTTCACAAATTCTACCATTCCAGATAATATAAAATCTTCAACTTCAAACAGCAATGAATCTTCATGATATGTTTGACTATATCACCTGGTATTTATCGGATTGATATAAATAAACACAAGACTTGAGACACTTCTGTTTCATTTTTAGATGGAAGTTTTGATAAAGGATCTGCATTATTGAATAAATTGCCGTTTCTGTATTGAATGTCACAAAAATAGCTTGAAAATGTGGTAGCCCATGTAGTTATCCTAGCAGATGCTGATGTCAAAATACCTTTAGTGTTTGCAAGAATGAACTGTAAAGGCTGATGGTCTGTACCCATAATGAATAATGAATTTTTGACCAATGGCCAAAGCTTTCTTTTCCAGATTACTTTATTTTTGCTCTCAAGGTGCAAACATATAACAGGTATTTTTGCTTCGCCAGTTTTTTGACTAAGGATAGCTATAACGCCATAGCTGCTGGTATCATAAGTGAGATCAATTCTGGATTGTAGTGCGTTAATATATTTTCTGATATTGAATTACTCTCACTCAATTTGAATGCGGCCTCACAATCTTCATTGCAGCTTTTTGAAAACTATACATCAATCCCGAATATAATTTCAGATCTGTTATAGTATTTGAAATAGATGCTTACTTGATTGCACGTATTTTCTTTCCTCGTTTGTAAAAATTTACATATTAGCCTATGAACTTTGACATTGTATTCTTCTAACCTTCCAAAATAATTCTCAAAATGCATATAATCATCTTCTAGAGATGAGCCATAAACTGAAATATCATCTGAATAACACTTTTTATTCTTCAATCTTACTTAAGTAGTATCCCTAGTGAATATTACTGGAATTTTTTGCCCAACACCAAACCGTTATTTTGAAACCTCGATCTTTCTCTTGAAGATGATCACTTGATTATCGAAACACGTGTCGAGGTGTTGAAATAACGGTTTGGTGTTGAGGAAAATACTCCAGTAATATTAATTACTACACCAAAGGTTCCAAACAGTATCCCTATCCCTATTGGTATGAAAAATTCTATGAGTCAAACTGATATTATAGGTTAGAATAATATATGCAAATGAATCTAAGTGTGTATTTATGATTTGGAGTTCTTGACATCTCTCACTTGCTCTTAACCGCTAATAAACTCATTTTGTATATATAATAGCGAAATATTTGTGCCCACATTTAGCTTTGCACAAATTTCTTAAAACAAACTGGTAAAAATCTAGAGCTGAATTCAATACCATTTCGAAATCGATCCAAATTCGAATTTTATTGGAGATGTTTTTAAAGAATACCACAATAAGACTAGACTACTTGCAGAAACTTTTTCAAGATTTTGATTTTTGAAGTAACCATATTTGATAACTCCCTTTGAACCTGACTTTTCAGAGTATATGGCATATAATAGGCTCTGTTGAACACTGATGAGGCTCCTTTTTTTTTTTATTTCAAACACTTTCAGCATGGAAGAGTCGGGTTGATCCAAGAAAACACTTTTGATTTTTCTTCTTTCTTGATGTCAGTTTTCATATCAACATATTTGATTGTATTCTCAGACATTTGACATTTCGATTTTAACATACTAAGAACAACAGACTGTTTCAACAGACTGAGTCACGTCTTATTGATTTTTTTTTCAGTCAGGACTTGTTACATCCAACCAATATCTTTCCACTAATGGCAAGGATTTGTATTATTTTCCTGAAACAACTGAAGGCAAATTTTCAATTGTCTATTGTCTATACTCACTACCTTATTATTATAGAGGTGAAATATGCTATATAGAGTTAAGTGGAAGAACATATTCCTGATGGAGTAAGTGATTGCTTCATTGGAGGAAATGAACTTGGCTCTTTATTTTCCAACTTTCTTTAAAAATATTTTCAGTATAGATGTACCGTGTGTGGAAAATAATAAAGACGTATTATTATCATTATTATTATTATCAAAAAACAACATTTTTCCCAACCTTTTCAACCAACTGTACCTTCTCTGGAACTGCTTTGAGTGAATTCAAACTTGACAGGTATCCCAGAAACAAAGAATTGTCTTCCGACAGACTTTCTACTTCGTCAACTGAATTAATTTATGAACTCCTACAAACTCTTTTTATATGCAATTTTTCCTACATTTGAAATATTTACACATCGATCGAAATGATGTGTTCTCCGTATTGAGAGTTGAATATTTGGATAATTCCTCACGATTCTCTTCTGGACAGATAACTTATCTAGATTTTCAGTAATACAAGACAAATTTGAATTTTTGTTCCCAGTGCTCGTACTTTGCCTTCAGCAAGATTCATTACTGAGATTTTTTCATAAGCTATTTCAAAGTTCAGCTATTAGGTGTCTTTTCCAATTCTTCAAATGGTTTTGTACTAAGCAAGGTTGCAGATAACAGATCTTTGAATATGCTGTGAGTTTTTTCTCCTATCAATGTCAGCAGTAACAAGATTCTTATTTCCTCAACTCCATAAAATTAGATTGTTCAGAAATGATTTTTCTGGGTGGAATATTGTCGTGATAGGAAGTTGGGTAATATGATTGATGGTGATAAATCAAATTGTGTATCGTAATAAGTTCTCACTTCTTAGTTTCACAACAATATTCAAAAAATCCTCTATCATACAAATTTGACAGTTTTGGATGATCAACCCAATTGATACGAAAATATTTTATAGATAAAGAGAAAACGTTCATCATTACGGTGTAGCCAAGTGATAATTGATTCAAGTTCATTTTCTACTGTTGAAAATTGAGTGAATAAAGGTAATTATGTCTATCAAATCTGACTTCAGTTTAATTCACTTGCAGTTGTTTGGCCTCGTAAGTTGTTTCATAATTTCATGATTCGAAAAACAAGTATTGTAAAAATATTAACAAACGAAGTTAATGTTTCAGAATCTACAGTTGTTATTGTTAGAAATAATAATACTTTGGTTTATCAAACCGAAAAAAATGTCATTCAATACTGGCACTTCCATTAATAGCACTCCAAATATTATTTTAAACATTATTTTTTACGAATGCTCGCTTCAGCACAACTTGATGCCACAGCTACCGATTTCCATCCTACTTGCCATTAGTCTACTGTCATGGCACTACTCGCCATAATTGTAGCAAACGTAAATCGAAAAGCATTTC